GTGGGATCACCCAGGGAGGAGGGTGACATCACCCAGGGAGCAGGGTGACATCACACAGGGAAGAGAATTAAGAAACTGGTGTTCACCAGAGGTACCTTCTCACAGGCAAAGCCAAGCTTTCCTGCTGGCCCCTCAGAACTCAAACCCACTCATGTGGAAACCCGCTCCCGCGTCTGCAAGCCCCTCTGTGGTATAGCTGAACACTGATGGGACCCCAATGACCACCTGCTTTTGTGTGAGACGTTCCTTGGAATTCAACTCAAGATACAACATCTGATTCCCAGGAACCACTTCAACGTCTTGACAATAGATGTGAAACATGTGGTTAAAATGGAGAATGTCACAATTCTAATATGTGTACGACCTCGGAGGCCAACCGTGGCGTTTTTGATCAGATCCCCGGTTTTAATCAGCTTTTCTCTGCAAAGCTGAGCTCCTCGGCCAGCACCAAATGCCGGGGACGGGCTGTGCTGCCCAGGAGCGGGGCTCTGCCAGCGCACAGGCCCAGGTTCAAATGCCCTGGGGTGGGAGACAGGGGGCTCCCCTGCCCCGTGTGCCCAGTGGGGGCTTCCTGGCCTCGTGAGGCTGCTGTGAGGGACAGTGGGAGCCGAAGGGAGCAGGGGGGGGCTTTGCTTCTAAAGGAGGCCACTCAAACATTTTCGTGGCTCAATTCTTCACTTTCGTTTTCTAAATCAAGAACTTTTGCTAAAGAACTTTGTGAGTGATAAGCCACTTATGTTATCAAGCATGTATTTAAATCAGCTCCACCCGTCATTAAGGACAGGCCATAGTTAATCTAAACACATAATTTGGAAAACAGATGTGTATATACATACCGCATAATTCATTCTTGTCTTGGTTTTGTAGAAATTTCACATCGTACTCTCGGTGAGTGTAAGTTTCTCTTACACTGGAGGACGATGATAAAATTACGATTACTAACACCATCCTGAGTGCCTCACTGTCCCCCCCCTCTGCCCAGGGCCGGCCCGTCGGCTCCAGCAGCGGGCTCAGATGCAGCCACAGGCTGCCAGAGACATCAACGCTGCTGGGATTCAGTCAACTGTGGAGAAGCTGGTAGAGCAGGAACACGTGTTGGGAAGTTCTCCCTACAAGGCTTTTACGACCTTAATATACCAAGGAACTGGCGGCCTGTTGCAGAACCAGGAGAGCGGATTAAAACCAAATGAGCCCCAAGAGGGCGGTGGCCGGGGGCCCCTGACGGTGGTGCAGCCTGCAAGGCAGAGTTCGTGGCCCAGGTTGTGGCCACCTTACCGTCCCACTGACGTGCTCCTTTCTAAAGCGGGGCGGGGGGTAGCAGCGTCCTGCACACAGTGGGTGTGCAAGCATTTGCTGAACGAACGGAAATATTCTAACGGGAAACGGACACCAGGCAGTTTGAAATAAGCATCTGAAAAAGGAAAAATATCTATTTTTAAAAACCAGTTCAGGCTAAAAGAACTTTTCCATTGGGTGGCCTCTAGTTACTATTAATACCAGCGTCTGAGTTTGCAGAAGCTGCCTGGTGTCGGGGGGGCTCCTCCAGCATGGTGACAGGGTCTCAGACAGGTACATGACAAAGTCTACAAGCAACCAGATCTATACTTTTTCTCGACCTCCCGTTCAGATACTTCTCTCCAGAAATGTTCTGGAAATGTGTCTCTGAATGATCTTCGACCATCGCTCCTGGTGAGACGTGTCCCCTAAGCTGGTGGACGGGTATCCATCAGGCCCCCATCCCGACTGGGGCCAAACCTCACCCTTAAGTGAGGTGACAGGAAGGGGTGCTTCACGGTAGTCATCAGTGCAACGGGCGAGTCCAAATCACCCACGTGAAAATTCCAGAGTGCCTATTTCCAGTTTTAAAATGACAACTGTGATTCTCGGGGGGGAAGGCACTGGGAAAATGCCAAACCCGTGCTTTGCATAAATTAAGAGAAAAAGTACAAGAAATCAAAGCAGAAGTAATTCTACAGGCAGAATATCTTAGAAACTAGACTTAGCTCTGACTGTGTTTGTATTTCTAACGAGGGGGGAGGACGTGGTGAATTACCTTCAAATATTTGTTTAGGCTTTACCCACGTTGTAAACACAGGATGAGTAGTAGCTAAAGCATTGTTGCAGGGTGGCAGCTCGCTCATCTGCTTGAGTCGCTTCCCAGGCACCGCTGGAGCGTGGTGTGGCCCTTCTCTTGGAAACCACGTCCCTCCATGTCCCCCCTCGGGGGCCCCCCTGCCCTCCCACCACTGGGCCTGTGGTTTGACTCTCCTAAGTAACAACCTGGCCTGGAGCTTCTAGCAATCTTCAATCCATTCTTCAAACCCCGGGGAAGAGGTTTCTTCCCCAGATCTGAATCTGGTCATGCCCCTTCCCTGCGTGAACCTGCCCACCATGTGGTGTGGTACCCCTCCACACGCAGGGAGTGGCAATGAGCACGTCAGGCTGGTGGCTGGGCCTCCCCCTACGGGGAATGTGAGGGCATGCGCTGGAATCTGCAAGGATTTGAAGAGAAACTGGAAATGTAGGTTTTTATCGGAAATCTCACATGCTTTAAAACACTGGCTCAGCTTTAAAATTCTGGCTATGTGAAATCAGCCCTAGGAAAAGCACCTGGCTGCCTCTCTCTGGCTCAATAAATCCAAATGTTCTGAACAAGAAAAGCCCTCGAGTGGGGTCTGGTGTGGATGCTCCAGCAGGGTGTGGCCCACAGAGAACACAGGTCTGGTAGACGGGGACTTGCTTCCTCTACCACCCTGACTTCAAGGTCACAGAAAAGCTCACTGCTCTAACCACAAGTTCAAGAGTCCTCGTGCTGTCCATATGACCTCGGCTCGAGCTCAAGATTATGAAAGTAAGTCGCAAACAACATGAACAGGTGTGTAAGCCCATGCCTGAACACTTTCCCCGGGGTGGGGGAGGGGCAGTTTCTTCCCTAACTATTCCACCATGGTGTATATTCTGTTTTCTGCATCACACGTGGGTTTCAGGCATCATGAAACTTATTAAAACAGGTAAAAGCCACAGGAGAAATATTTGTAAACAAAACAGTTTGGTGAGTTTAAAGAAGTAATATTCTGTCCTTTCACATTTTAACTCAAGAGGCTGGATATTCTAGCTGGACAGCTGGGACCTTGAGGTTCAGAACCAGCACCTCTTGGCTCCTTTCAGCCAGAAGGCTGGGCTGCATGTATGCAGGCAAGAGGCCGTGCGGGAGGCCGTCTCAGGATCTGGCAGGTTGAGGACTGGGACAGGCACGCCTGGTATCCGTGCTATGTGCACTCCCCGGCCTGACCTTGAACGAAAGTCACAGGCCCGGTGCATTCCGATCATGAGCAACGTCAAGCGGACAGGTGCCTCAATAGCAACAGGTGTCTCTGCACTTGCACGCTCTACCTAAAATAAAAATGCCCGTGAAAGGAACCAACGCAGAACTTCAAGTGTTACCTCTTTCTGCTGCCGCTCCAGCTCCTTCATTCGGATCTCTCGAGCCTCGGCGCGGGCTGCCCGCTTCGCAGCCAGCCTCGCCTCCGCCTGAAACAGATGGGAGATTTCATGAGAAGACAGACCAGTGGCTCGTTTCGTGTGAACAGCGAGGCTGTTAGTAAGAGACTTTGTTTGGGGTTTAATAAATATACAATAACACATCGCAGACTCATATGAGTTAAAGGTCATCAGGAATGACAGTAGCAGTGGTTACAGTAATAAGGATCCCTACTGTTTATGGAGCCCTTACTAAATGCCAGGCAGGCACAGGTTTGTTTTCTTTTTAAAGATTTTATTTATTTGAGAGCGAGAGACAGAGTACAAGCTGGGGGAAGGGGCAGAGGGAGAGGGAGAAGAAGACTCCCCACTGATCAGGGAGCCTGAGATGGGGTGATCCCAGAACCCTGAGACCATGACCTGAGCAGAAGACAGACGCTTCACCAACTGAGCCACGCACGCGCCCCTAAGTGGGCACAGTTCTAAGGACTTTACATATATTGTGCCATATACCCCTTGCAACAGCCTATTAGGTAGACACTATTCCCATCCCCAGTTTATAGAGGCGGGAACTATGGCACAGAGAGGGTACGTAACTTGACCAAGGTCACACAGCCTGTAAGTGGCAATGCTGGGCGGTGTGCCTTCCTCCGGAGCTACAACAGACAACTGCCCGGGGCAAAGCATTAGAGCTGGGCAGGACCACAGGCCACTGGTTCAACCCCTCCCTTTTACAGAGCAGGGCACAGGGCTGAGACTCTGACGCTGCTTTCCAAAACTCCTGTCTAGTCACCTCTCAGGACGCCCTGCTGCCCTCAGCTCCCCCCTCAAACACCTGCAGTGCTGGGCAGCTCGTCTTTCCTCAAGACAAGTAAGACCAGAGCAGGATGGTCAGTGAGACCTAGCTATCAGAAGCATTACATTAAAACAAAACAAAACAAACCATCTCCATGCAACTCTTTATCAACTTGGATAGCTATTTAGCCAAACTACTGAAGACCACTTAAAATGTTGGACCAGGGCTGACCTGCGCCCTTCAACCTGCCACTCAAACACTACTTCCCGCTTCACAGATCCTCTGTCTATTCACTATTTCAGCCGACACAGCACACGGCTCAGTGAGGACCTGGTGCAGGTGTACCCGGATTCGGGTTTTTCGGTGTCAAGCAAATGCCACCTTCTTTCCACCGTTTTTTTGGGGGAATGAATACACTTGTAATTCTCCCACCGACAGTTCTGTAGATACAGTTTCAGGTGTTAAACTAGGGCCATGAGAAGTGTGGCCAGTGGTCCAGCAAGCAGGAGGTGGCCCAAATGTCATCGCCCAGCTTCTCCCACAGGACCAGGCTCACATCAGGGGGGCGGGGCCTGGGGTCAAGGATGTCCATGTCCCCCATGCCATACTTGTACTGACTTACAAATTTATCTTCTGTCCAAATTCGAACCAAGGGTGAAAACTGACCGTAGCTGATGTGTCAGAGATTGGCTGGTGTGTGGCCTTATAAGGAATTTCTTTTGTAACTTGGTTCACTCGTGTGGTTCCTTTAACAACCCAAGCCCAGGTCCCTCAAGTCAGGGGCGGCGGCAGGAGGTGGTGTCAAGTATCACAACTGCCTCAGAACATTGATACCTTGGCGCCATTTTCAATTTTCTAAACCATGTTACGCTGTGTGAAGGGCCACTCGGGGTCTATAAAAAGATCCAGCAAAGCTCACAGGGAGGGGAAGGGAAGGTTTGTTTGATATCTGGCCATGATGAGATGCTACAGTCCCATGGCCAGGCCAGCAAGACGACTAGGCTCACCCTGAGTGCAGCCTGCTTCCCTGCCTTCCTGCGGGGAGGCCAGGGCTCCCTGCCCGCCAGCTCTGGGGCTATGTCTAAGCTGGTACAGACCAGGCCACCATAGCCTCCAGCCTGGGACCGGGGCGGGGGGAGGGCATGGAGGTGGGCGAAGAACAGGGGCGGAGCGGGAATGTGAGAAACAGGAAAGGGAACAGAAGAAGGGAGGGCTGCCAGGGGGGACACAGGCAGAGAGGAGTGTGGCAGGCCCGACTCTCAGGGGGTCCCCAAGATTCCTGCCCTGGTGCACTTGCTCCACATAATCCTCTCCCCTGGAGTGTGGGCAGCACTGTGAGTAGGAAAGATGCCCCTCCTGTGACTGGGTTTCGTCGCATGGCAAAGATAAACGCAAAAATAATTAAGGTCCCTCATTAGCTGACTCAATCAAAAGACAGATTATCCTGGGTGGGCCTCACCTAATCAGGCGAGGCCTTTAAAAGAGGGTCTGGAAGTCAGACAGACTCTCCTGCTGGCCTGGAGAGAGCACGGTGGCCTGTGTGAGAGGACCACGTCAGGGGCCACGTGACAAGGACCAGCCGGTGGGCTGTAAGAGCCGCGAGCGGCCCCGGAAGACAGCCAGTGGGAAAATGGGACCTTGGTTTTGCAACAATAAGGAGCTGAATTGTGCCTATGACCCTGTGAGCTCGAGAGGACCTCAGGCTCCAGAAAGGACCACAGCCCGTGTAACCTGAGCAGAGGAGCCAGTAAGCTGTGCCCAGAACTGTGACCACAGAGCCTAATATGATAAATGTGTGTTTTAGGTTTCTGGATATTTGGGATATTTGTTACAGAGCAGAGATAAGGAGATAAGGAGGCGGGGTCGGCTCGCACAGGGTTAGTGTCTCCGAGCTGCGGGGGATGTGAGCACTTACACACCCGCCCTGTCCTGCCCTACTCTCATCTAGCTCTGCTTGGGACTGGGCCGAAGAGCCCTCAAGAGACCACCTACATGGACATGTAGTCCCTGACCCCTGGCGCGATCTCCCCACCAGACGGGCAGGCCTCCAAAATAACATCCCATCAGACCACATAGACTACATCCCAGCTACCCCGTGGGCCTCCCTGCACCCAGGAAAAGGCTCCCGTCATGGCCCGCCCACTCCTGTGGTCCTCATGTCCAACCCAGGACGTCTGTCCTGGCTATGAGAGGACAATGGCGCCAACAGACTAAACCCCACCAGCTCCCAACTTGAGGGACCCGGGCTGGGGATGGTAAAAAGGAACCATGTGAATGAACCAAGTCATGGAGTAAATTCCTTATGAGGACGCATCAGCCAGCCTCGGAGACACATCAACTGTAGTCAATCGACCTCAGATTAGAATTCAGAAAGGGGAAACATTTCTTTTTTCTTTTTTAAAGATTTTATTTATTTATTTGAGAGAGAGAGAATGAGAGAGAGCACAAGAGGGAAGAGGGTCAGAGGGAGAAGCAGACTCCCCGCTGAGCAGGGAGCCCGATGCGGGACTCGATCCCAGGACTCCAGGATCATGACCTGAGCCGAAGGCAGTCGCTTAACCAACTGAGCCACCCAGGCGCCCAGGGGAGAAATTTCTAATTTAGTACAATTTCAAATCCTTGCAATTGCCACCTTATGAAACACCTTCCTCTTTTAGGATTCACATGGGACTCAGGCAGGAAGCAAGATGCCCGTGATATAGGAAGTGGTAACAATCATGCTCGCTTCTGGGAATCTGGCAAATTAAAAACCAACAGACATAGAGCCCATCATTTAAACCGGTCCAGAAACTCTGCACACCCAACTTTGTGAGCACAAGACTAGACCAGCATCATAAGCCTGGCCCTGGCCTGATTTGCCTGAAGGAAAAACTAGAGAGTTCTGACAACACAATTCACCCTAAATCAATGACATTGTCAAGAACACCAAAGAGCCTGACCCAGAGCCTAAGAAACAGTGATCACCCAAATGATCCTTGCAAAATCACCAGAAAAAAATCTGTTTGATCAAGTCATTAAATGAACAAAAACTACAAAATAGCTCTGGTCCACCACAGTGAGAAGCAAACACGAATTCATTCCCCTGCAGCATTTCCTGGGAGGCCCAGCCCTGCCCTCCCATTGCCCCAGGCCAGGTAAAGGCTTTCTCTTGGCCTCCCTGTGCCTCGGGCCAATGCTCCTATGTAGGGGACAAACCCATCACCACCCAACACTTTTGTGAAATACAAACTCACATTCTTGAGGTCACAGCCATGTCAGTTTGTAGGAGAGTTTCCAAATGCTTACTTTCACTTCTGTACTTAGCTGGTGGGGACTGCAGCTCTTGGTTATCACCAGCCCAGGCCCACCCAACCTTGCCACACCTTCAGACATGGCCAGGGAAGGACCTGCAGACCGCGGTGGGGGTCCCCAGTCTCCGGAGGAGAGAGCCAGGGCTGGGGAGTATAGTGATGTGGCGGGGGGGGGGGTGTGGGACAAGGGACAAGGTGGAGAAGCCTGAGGGCCTGGGGTGTAGACCCTAGCTCTCAGGCCCTGTATCTGGAAGCTTATCCTGAAGGAATGTGAAGCCACTGGAGGGTTTTACAAAGGGACACAGTGGGGTCGACCTCTGAGAACCACCATTCTGGCTGAAGTGTGCGGAACGAGAAGGTGCTGAGTCTGTATGGAATCCAGGAAGCAAGCCCGTGAACGTGAAGAGGTGGGATGAAGCAAAGTGAGGCGGCCAGAGGGCACTGGAAAGTGTGCCAGGAGCCCAAGGTCCTGAGGAGAGCCCGTGTGCTCCAGCAGCCAGAGAACCCTGGTGAAGAATCCCCACGTACCACATCCGGACGCTTGTGATGCGCAGGGTGCTGCCCCAAACCTGGACGTGCCGAGCATCCAGCCTGCGGACCCCAGCACGCCTCCAGGGCCTGTGTGGGTCTCAGAGTCGGGGTGTGCCGCTACCTCGATACCCCCAAACTCCCAAACTCAGGGGAGATGACAATGGTCCATCGAAGCTGGAAGGACGAACGGAAGGGACGGAGAAAAGGAAAGGGATGGGTTTGTGGAATTTAGGACAGAAAGTACAAATGGCACAGGGGTTCAGAAAAGCAAGCTTGGAAAACAAGACGGCGCACCCCTGCCCATGAGCAGTCTGCTCCATCATTCTTCAGCCCCCATGGAACTTCCTGGCTGCTTCCCTGAGTGACCTGCGACCAAGCTCATTCTGTGACCTCAGGGCACCTGCTGGGGCAGCAGCAGGGCAAGCTGGCTGGGCCCCTCCTCCAGGGTCCTGGGCGGCCCTCTTCCCTTCCTACAAGAGCCAACAGGAGAGGGGCGCCAAGCCTTCAGCATCTGCCCTCACCGGCTCCAGAGAAGGCACAGCTCTGGGCCCCAAGCCTCCTCCCCACAGCGTTTTTGAGAACATACTAAAATATTTAAGACTGAAATAGTATCATCTCCATCAGATTGGCCTTCTGAGAACTAGGGGGAGAGGGGTCTAAAGGGCTGTACGCTGACAACTGCTGGGCCCTTCTGTCACAGTGTGCCCCCCCCCCGAGGATCCGCACACCTGGGGATGAGTTAGAGATGCAGAACTCCCCCCCAGCCCCCCCATCAGAACCTCTGGGGTGGGGCCCAGCCAGCTGGGCTTCAACACGCTCCCAGTGTGTGTGTGTGGGGGGCAACACTTCCTCAAGTGTGGGGACCTCTGTCTTCTGTTATCCCATCTATGTTTGGGTATGTTTGACATTTTTCATAATAAATAGCAAAATTTTAAAAGGAAGGGAGAAAGGGGGAGGCAGGCAGAGAGACAGGAAGGAAGGAAAGGAAGGAGCCCCCAAACCAAAACCAGGCTCAGGGCTGCCAGAAGGTGGCCGGGGGTGTTGCTGGAAACTCCTGCAGGGCTGCACTCCCCCAGCCCCCCTGCCGCTCCCCCTGCCGCCCCCCCAGCAGGCCCCTCCAGGGTCTGGGGAGGAGCTGATCCAGCCAGGCTCCTGGCCAGAATGCAGTGTCGTCCTCTCCCCTGACGGGCCAGCCACGCCCTTCCCCCCCGGGACCCACTGCCCTGGCCTGGAACCCCACAAATGGAGCTTCAGAGCTGCTGGGCTTTTAAGCAAGGTGCCCGCTGATAATGGAAACAGTCGAGAAAAGAAGCCTCCACTCATCACCAGAGGTGCCCTAGAATAATTCTAAACAGCAGAGCCCTTGACTCCCCAGTGCCTCTGTTATAATTTATTGTACTGCAGATAGAACAGCTCTCCGATGCGAGGGTGTCGTGTGCGCTTCCAGAACTGCTGCAGACACAGAGCAGCACAGGCCTGACCCTGGGTCCTCCTCACAAGCGGCTCACACACCCCGGCTCTCCCAGCGGGGTCTCCGGAGGCACCGAGGCCCCCAGCCTGGGGTTGGCCGCAGAGGTGCACAGGTGGCCGGGGCGGGGGGGGACACATGTCTCCCCCACAAGCCCCATCCCCGCAGCATAGGCCTGACCAGGCCGGGGAGCGAAGTGAACAAACCAGGGGGCAAGCAGGAGTCCTTTAGCAGGGTCACTACGTTCTGCCCGCAGCCTCGATGGACTCCGGTTCCAGAGTGGGTTCCACACGAGCAGGACACGGGAGACGGCAGCGAGAGGAACAGCCAGAACGGGCCAGGCCTCCTGCTCAGAGCCTCGGACGGTCCGCGGTGTGACAGCCGTCCCAGGGTGCTGGCTGGAGCTCAGGGACCGCCCCGCTCGGCAAGGGACTGAGGCTGAGGAGAACTGCAAGGAGCAGTGAGGCCCCCCGCACGCCCTGCCGCCCCGGCCAACCTCACCTGCACTCCCGCCGGCTGGGGGAGATTCTGCCTGCGGGACGGGACGCTGCCCAGCCTGGGGCAGCCACACACCAGCCCCGATACCTTGTCCCCCAATCCCGAGGACATTTTGGGGGCTCGAAGAGCTCTAAGGGTGTCTGTATCTTTCTTGTAGCTCCTACCCGTTTAACTACCCGGAGGACCCCGTGCGATAATGCTCACAGAGCCACAAGGTGATGAACACCTGTGCAACGGGAGTCCCAGAGCAGGATCTGCGGCTGTGGCAGGAAGACCCGGTCACTTCCTGGAGAGCCTTGTGCTGCTTCACGGCAGCCTGGCTCCGTGCGTACGCGTCCTCGGCTTCAACGCTTTCCTAGGAGTCCGGCGGAGCATGGAATTCTATATCCCGAGACCGCGCATCCTGCGGCCACAGAAAATGGTCTCACTCTCTCTGCAACTCTGCAGTTGCTCCCAGGGGTTCCAGAACTCTACGTGGGAGCTGGATCCCGTCTGGGTTTACAAGCCCCAACTCGGGGGTGATTCTTGAGAAACGGGACTGAGATGCGCTTCTGTCCCTTCCTCCAAGGGGGCTAAGAGGCTTCTGTCCCCGACTGTCTGCATCTCCTGGGGGCTGGAAAGGCACCACAACAAGGGCTCCAGAAGCGAGCTGCCACGACTATGATGCAGAACCCTGGGCAGGCTCACGCACACTGCTGACGTGCTGCCCACGGTGGGCCACGCTCTGTGACCACGTGCGCTGCCATTCTAGAACAGGTGTTCGGGAGGAGACTGTCCCCACACATTAAGAACACCGCTGGGGTCCATGGAGAGAGGGCTGGGCCGTGGCCACACCTTAGGGACTCCAGTGACTGCCAACTCTTTGTTCTGTTTGCTCAGACGTAACGTGGAAATGAGCCACATGCAATCTGTAGGCTGTAGAGCATTCTAGAATTAGGAGGAAGTTTTGGTATTGATTGTACACATTCATTTTGGCCTTCAGGTTTTAGAATCAAGCAGAACTGAGAAACCGGACTTCTCTCCAGGCCGCATAATCTAACCAGAGCTCATCAGCTCTCAGGGAAAGGTTCGCTCCTGCGAAGGTAATAGGAATCTTGTGCAGCTGAAGCCTGAAGCTATGACAAAGAACCAATTTTGTTTGGAAACAAGCAGAGCCTTCTGTCCATGTGAGATTCTGCCCCAGGATGACAAAGGCTCACGGCTCCCGCCGGGGCAGGCTGGAAGCCACCGAATCGCTGAAGCCTGCATACACGGGCCCATGTGAAAGTGCCTCATAATGCGCTGCCCATTTCCCACCTGGAGTGGACGGCTGTGCAGAGTAACCACGAGGCTGACAGAGTTCCTTCCCAGAGTGGCCTTTGCTACAGGAAGTGGCAACAGCCAGCTTGTTTTCTGGGTAAATCCCTAATCCCTTGTGTGTGGCAGATTCTCAAGATGGGCTGCTCTTCAAAGCAACCAAGTGGAACAAGGGACGTGTTCTCCCACAGGGCCACGAACAGGGAAGGGAGCGTGCTCGCTAGCAGCTCACACACAGTGACTGGTGCCGCCTCTGTACCCTGCACCCACCACCCCGTGGCCCTCGGCCGCCATGTGCACTTCATGCCAGTCTCAAAAGACATGCTCATCTTTCCCAAACCCTTGCTTACACGATTACTGTCCGTTCCCCCAGTGAAGGGCCGCATGCTTTATGGCCATGCCTGTAAGTACAATCACCATGGAGGGGAAGATGCTTTGGGACTGCATTTGTTGATGGGGGCAGGGCCAACTCGTTAGAGGGCATTTTGGAAATGTGGGGGGCATTGTGAGGATGTCACGATGACTGGAGGCAGGCACGGATAGCATGTAAGGGGCAGGACATGGCAGGCCAAGCATCCTGCATTCAGACAGGCCTGCACATTGAAGAACTTTCCCACTGACGGTTCAGACGGAGAGAAGAAAAATAATTTTTAGATCTACAAACTGATTCCAACTTATGCATAAAATCAAAATACGATTTGCACAGTTTTAACATACATTGGATGTTCCAGGAATGCAATCAGCATTAAAATTGAGGGAAAATGACTTGGCTCTGTTCAGAACTTTCTCAAGAGTTAATGACCACTTAGGAATGTCAAGTCACCAACAGCAACAGAACGCATGGCGTCTGAGTCAGCACCACACACCTGCATCTATCTGTGTTTGCGGCTATGGCTCGGGGCACACGTTTGCACACCCATGACTGCTCCCCTGGTCTTCTGGCACACCCAGAAGGGGCTGGAGCATTTCTCTATCCAATCCACTTTCTGTTACTGAGATTCACCTTTATTTTATTTCTTTGCAATGCAACAGTTGACATATTATATTGACTTGACGTTATGTGTACCAGCAGATTTTACCACATATGAATTCCATTTCAGGTTAGCAACAAGGATGTTAAAAACTTGTTACAAAAAGGGGGCACTGGGTCCGACTGGGTTGAGAACCATAGCTTTGAAAGTGCAGAGTGGAACGGGGGAGCTGAGCCTCTCTACGGCTCGGCCGCAGTCCAAACAGCCCAGCCATAGGTTAAGGGCACGGGGCTGGAGGCTGCTGTGTGAGCCACAAATGAAACATGACACGCTTTGTCCATTTTACTTGAAGGTTTGGAAAACAGAAAGTTAAAGACTAAAGTTTAGGGGCGCCTAGGTGGCTCAGTCGGCTGAGCGTCCAACTCTTGATTTCGGCTCAGGTCATGATCTCAGGGTTGTAGGATCGAGCCCTGCATCTGGCTCTGTGTTGGGGGGTGGTGGTGGTGGTGTCTGCTTGGGATTCTTTCCCTCTGCCCCTCCCTCTGCTCACTCTCAATCTCTCTCAAATAAATAAATAAATAAATATTTTTTGTTTTAAAAGACTCAGGTTTAACTAGTTATCTACAACACCATGTTTCCATCAAAACCAAGTCCAATGAGTTCTGGAGTCGACTGTAAAATTATCAAAGAGTTTTATGATAAAACAAACACCAGCCTTCAGAGAGGTCTCTACCTTACAAGGCTTGGGCCATGGGCCTCCAGGAGCCCAGACCAGGGCACCTGGTAGAAAAGCCCAGAGCATCCAGCACCGCCTCTCCACAGGCTGGGCCACAGGGCTCCGGGTCTCTGCATGCGGAGACCACCCAGAGAGGGGCCTCAACACCCAGCCTCTGGTTCTGCTCTACTGTTTATCAGTCACATGGGCTCTGACAAACTACATCACCTTTTTTGTTGGTGGTGGTGGTGGTATTAATCATGCAATATTTATTTATTTACATCCTTCATTTTATCTTATTTCCACGGTAATTAATGTACCATACTATATTAGTTTCAGGTATACAATATAGGGATTTAACAGCTCCATACAATTACTCTGTGCTCATCATGGTAAGTGAGCTCCTTCAACCCCATCACTTACTGCCCCCCTCCAGCCCCCTCCCCTCTGGTGACCATCAGTGTGTTCTCTATAGTTAACAGTCTGTTTTTTGGAAACTGCATCACTTTTGGACGTTAGCCCTCATCATAGGGAATGGAGGAACCAGGCTATGTGATCTCTGGGAGCTTCCTTTACTTCTAAAATGCTGTGCCTGTACACCAGGGGTGAATTGTTTCTACAGTGAGACTGTCAGTTCTCTTTCCCCATTTTGCTACTAGAGATCTCCTGACTTTGCCTTCTGAATAATGAACTTCTTAAAAGCACTCCACATACCAAAATAACAAACTGGTATGATTCAGGAACAATATTATTCATGTTACTTTATAGAAAGCAATGACTAGTAACATTCATCCAAACTTTACAAACTGACATTTACCCAGTGATCCCAACACAATCTTCAGTTTAGCAACTACTCATACTGATGTGGATGAATAAACAGTTGCACAGTATCCTCCATGTGGATACATTTCTCCTCTTGCTGTTAACAGAAGAGGAGAGAGAGTTTTTTCTGAGCTGAGAGAAGGTTCACATTTCCTTCAATAGCCTCAATGTGCTGGAAAGACAAAGGAAACCATGACAGTC